AAGACTGAAGTCACAGGACAGCTTAATATGACTAAAAATCCATAAGTTTCTCAAGTATGTCTTAATTATCTTCTATGCTATTGTGTTCTGAAAACATAACTGCAGTGAATTGTCAACTTGTGCCTCTAGGATTTAGACTAGAGAAAAGATCTGATAGGTCAAGTTCATAAAGATTACTGATACCTCTGGGAGAGGTTTTTGCCTCTGGCTAGTGTTGAGAACCATGCCTGAATGTTGGTGATAGTTTCTGGAATGCAGTAAAGTATTTAACTTTTTTTAAGTGTCATGACTTTTCCAACAACTATATATGTATATATGTATATATATATATATATATGCTCAATTTTAATTAGTTTTTAAATTGCTTATCAAACATTAAAATAACATTAATTGGTGGCAAAGGCAAGAAAAAAATGTTCTGTAAAATCATAATGTGATTGACCAGTTGATTGACCAGCAACTGACCAGTTGAACAGAAGAATATTTTCTTTGACCTATGTTTATTTTCTAAATTTTTATTTATTTATTTTTTGGGGGGAAGGTTTTTGCTAAAGGGTCCGTGCGCTCACCAGAAAGAGAGAGAGACAAAGAGACAGAAAGCGAGAAATCGTCCCCTGGGGGGATGGCCACGCTGCAATCCCATCTCCTCCATTCTCCTCTTGGATCCTGGGCATGCACGCACACGCGCCTGGCATGAGTTTAAGCCACCGGGTCCGGGACTTAAACCACAGTCAGCTACATGGGAGTCCAGCAACATAGCATTACGCTAACTGCTGGTCCCACCTGTGTTTAATTTATTTTTTAACATTTGGAGCTAATTTCAACTTGTCACAAGCCCTGCCATTCCCTTGTAACCACTCTGGCTCTCCTTGTAGATCTTACAGTGCAGATTGTTCCAAAAATGTTTATAATCTGTTTTAGTATAGTAAACATTATAATTGCAGGCACCCCCAAAATGCTGTTTATGTATAATTATGATAGCATCAACCTACTAAAAAATTCAGAACACATGCTAAGTTTATATAGAGACTTAAGAAGTTCTGAAGCATCCCAAGTGTGCATCTGTGGATGAATGGATAAACAAAATGTGGTATATACATATCACAGAAATTCCTGTAACTTGGAAATAGAAGATTCTGATTCATGCTATAGCATGGATGAACCTTGAGGACATATGCTAAGTGGTAAAAATCTGTAGCAATAAAAACAAGGTCTGGGACCAGCAGAGGGCGTAATGGTTACGTCACTGGATTCCCACATGGATGACTGACTGCAGTTTGAGTCCCGGTTCTGGTGACTTGAAACTCACACCAAGCGTGTGTGCCCAAGATCCTGGGAGGAGAATGGAGATCCCCCTCAGGGGTGATTTCTTACTTTCCCTTTCACTGTCACTGTCTGTCTGTCTGTCTGTCTGTCTGTCTCTCTCTCTCTCTCTCTCTCTCTCTCTCGTGAGCATATGTGCCCTAAGGCAAAAAGCTCTCAAAAACCAAACAAACAAAAATCAGAACTGTTTGATTCTATCTATTTGAGGTATGTAGAATAGTCAATTTCACGGAGATACAAAGTAAAATGGGGGGCCAGCAGTTGGCGTAATGGCTATGTCACTGGACTCCCCTGTAGTCAACCATGGTTCGAGTCCTGGACCTGGTGGCTTAAACTCCCACCAGGCGCATGTGCGTGCATGCCCAAGATCTCAAGAGGAGAATGGAGGAGGGACCAGCAGTTAGCGTAATGGCTATGTCGTTGGACTCCCACATAGTTGGCCGCGGTTCACGTCCCGGACCCAGTGGCTTAAAACTCACGCCGGGCGCATGTGTGTGCGTGCTCAAAACCCTGAGAGGAGAATGGAGGAGAAGGGATTGCAGCGTGGCCATCCCTCTTGGGGGGAGATTTCTCACTTTCTGTCTCTCTGTCTCTCTCTGTCTGTCTGGCGAGTGCATGTGCCCTATAGCAAAAAACCTCTCCAAAAAAAAAATAAAAAGAGGAGAATGGAGGAGAAGGGATTGCGTCATGGCCATCCCCCTAGGGGGGTGATTTCTTGTTTTCTGTCTCTCTATCTCTGTCTTTCTGGTCAGCACACACACCCTATATCAAAAACCTCTCCAAAAAAGAAGAAAAAGAAAAAGAAAAAAAAAAAGTAAAATGGTGGTTGCCAGGGTAGGAGAAAGCAAAGAATGAGAAGTTGTTTAGTGGGTATAGAGTTTCAAGTTTGGGAAGATGAAAAGTTTTGGAGATTAACCTCTGTGACTATACTTCCCACTGCTGATCTATAAGTCCACTTAAAAATGGTTGAGATAATTACATATATTTCATCACAGCTTTTTTTTTTTTCCCTATAGGAGAGCTATGAAGTGACTGGCATACGGTCTTACATATATATGTACTCAGAAGTTATTTCTGTTACGTAGTCTCCCCTTATCAGTCATTCATTCAGCCACTATTTATTAAATGTTGACTCTGTGCAGCAGCTGTATAAGTTGCAGGGGATGCCACCATGGCCAAGATAGACAGGTTGGCTCCCCCATGCAGCTCATATCACGGGGCATATGGATGATTTAGAAGCCACCCAAAGTACAAAATGTATCCATCAGTGTGTTCTTTGACATCTTTGCACTTCAACTCAAATTCCATTTGGGTAAAGTATATAAATAAAGAAACATTAAATAAAGGAAATTATAAAGGTACCAGCAAAAACAATGTTTAAATGATCTCAGAATAAGACTGGCACTTTAAGATTTTGTACAAAGATAGAAGACATAAAGAAGAGACTGACAGTGTTGTCAGAAATGTTCATATGGCAAAAGTAGCAAAAACATTGTCGAAAGATAAATGTTGAAGGAGAAAAATCTTTGCAATTTGCATGATTTAAAAAGCGAATTGTATTGGATGCCGGTAGATGATGTAATGGTTACGTTGCTGGACTCCCACATAGTCAGCCATGGTTTGAGTCATGGACTGGGTGACTTAAAACTCATGCTATACACGTGCGTGCATGACCAAAATCCCAAGAGGAGACCAGAGGATAAGGGATTGCTGGATGACCATCCACCTGGGGGATGATTTCTTGCTTTCTGTTTCTTTGTCTCTTTCTGTAACTTTAGCAAGTGCAGCACATGCCCTATAGCAAAAATCTCTCTTTAAAAAAACAAAGACTGTTTTCACGTAAAAACACCTCCTATGAATTAACAAGAAAAAGACCAAAACTTCAACAGAAAAATGGGCAAAATTTAAAGGAAAGGAAATACAGGTATTTCTTAATCTAATAGGATATAAGAAAACTTCAAACATTTTGTGGAAAAATGGAATTAAAGTATGAGTTTATGTTGGCTCAAAAATGTTTTTGAAATTCATGCATAACGTTTTCATAATATGTATTTTCCTTGGACTTTTTGAAGACCCCTTGTATATCTCAAACTCATTCATAATAAAAGAGATTTAAATTAAAACAGTATGTGAGATATCCCTTTTCACCTACTGCACTGGCAAAGATCCAGATGGCTGATAGTAATGGGTTGAAAAACAATCTCTCTGATACAGGTTTTTCAGAGTAGAAGTTAGGGACAGCATCTTCTAAGAAAATTTAACAGACTCTGGCTATTTTAAATGCCTATACCCTTTTCCGCTCTGCTCTGGAGAATTTTTCTTACAATTGTTTACTCTTATGTATGATATACATATGGAGATAGTAAGGCAACATTGTAAATAATACAAACTCTTAGAAGCAATCCAAACAGCCATTATTTAAGTGGCAGGTTAAATAAAGTATGGTAACAAGCTTAGTTGGGATAATATCCTGGTTAAGGCTGCTAATCAGTGGTTCAGGCCGCATAAGCCTGGCTTCAATTCCTGGTCTACTCCACTCTAAAATTCAGGTAGTCCTAGCTACTCAGGAGACTGAGGGAGGAGGATCAAGATAGTGAAGCCCTGTCTAAAAGTAAAAATTAATTACGGAACATCCATACAAGATATGCAGTTAATTAAAAAAATATGTGTTTGTGTTGCTGATGAAGGGTAGCTAAAATCTGTTAAAAAGCCAGGTATAGACCCAAGTTTTATTTTTTTATTTTTATTTTTTTTAAGATGTAAGAATACACATATTGCACATGCATAGAATCTCTCTTAGATGGACAAATTGGTCAAGGTGGCTGCTTCAAGGAAGCAGGAAAACTCTTGCTTACTTTGGGAATTTTATAACATGTACATACCATCTACCCATAGAAATATCAAAAATATTCAGTCTTACTCAGTTGGTATGTTTACTTATTTATATCCTCTGGGTTTCAAATTAGAGCTTAAGAAAACATACAGATAGACATGAAACACAGTGAGGACAACAGTTCTTCAGTCAAATCTGAAGCCACATTCAGTATTCACCCCAGTGGAGATTTCTTTTAGGGAATTTGTTATATAGTTGTGTAAGTGCTGAGAAGTGTAAGTACAGACAGAAACATAAACTAAAACCAAACATTGCCATGCAACTTTTTTTTTTTTTTTTTTAATGCTTGAGGGACAAAAATGAGGCACTGGTATTACTTGACCTCGGATATAGAAGCTAGAGCCCTCGTAGGCATCTCTAGCCAGAGCCAGAGCGAGGGGAGGAGGTGCTACCCAAAGCAGAAAGCGAACACAAACCCCTGGCTTTCCTGTCTTCCTTCCTCCTGTCTCACATCACTGCTTCCACTTGGCTAAACGGAGCTGAAGGTTAGTCAACCCAGGAACCTTGAAACTCAGCCTATAAGAACTGACTCCCTTGATTACAGAGTAGAATAGGGGAGTGCCTAGAATGGATAGCAAATAAGGCAGGACTGACAGACTCCGAGCATGACAGTGGGACATCCATGGCTAGGAAATAAAAGGACCTGAGAATGAATCCGATCCCCTACATTCAGCCATGATTGTACAGTCCTGCTCCGTTGCAGCCTATGCTCTGCTCATTGTACATGTGAGCTTTCCAGGGTCATGTCACACATCATGCATGTTGTCCTGTGACCAGCTCACATGTGCTAGCAGCCTGCTGTGTCATGGGTGGTGAATGAAGGTTGGTCAGAAAGAATGCATGAGTGAGTGAATGTCTTTTTCTTTATTTTTTTGAGAGAGATTTTGGCTATAGGGTATGCGTGTGCTTGCTGGAGAGACAGAGACAGAAAGATAGAAAGTGAGAAATCACCCCCCAGGGGGATGGCCACACCACAGCCTTGCCTGAGTTTTAAGCTGTCCTGGACTCAAACCATGGTCAACTATGTGGGAGTCCAGTAACGTTATCATTACACTATCCGCTGGTCACATGAGTGAGTGAATTTCAAGAGGAGTAAGAAAGAAGTCATAAAGTATAACATCAGTGAATCTTAATATTTTTATCCTTTTTGGTTGATGCCTTTGGGACAGACTGTTTTCAGTTTGATCTATACAGTTTGGTTACTATACTGTTGAGGACTTTTATCTTCCTGTCTTGCAACAGTTTTCATTAGACACTCAGTAATTGTTGTTCCACAGCTTATGAGTTCAGATTGATGAATACAATAATTGTGTTATTCTAGTATAATAAGGTAGAACTAGTCATTATAAACTCTCAAAATCATGTTTACCTTTTACTTAAATGGAGTTTGTTTGTATTAATGATTGTAGCTTATATTGTGGCATAAATTTGCTAATAGGGACATGATAATTTTAAAAAAATGAACGGCATTTTAGGCTCTACTGAAAATACTTTGTTTTCTTCGTAATGGTCTCTTTTGGTGTCTGGAGGAAAGCTGAGCAATTCCTTCTAATGTATAGCAGCGGAAATTAAAATAATTATGCTTTTCTGTTTTTCTCTTCAGAAAACCTAACTGGGAAAAAAAAAGACATAACTTGCTATCTTTAAGGTTTCATTAATGCAGCAAAATATATTTTCTCTTAACTGCTTTGGTGTAATTCCATTTCACTTGATCACATTTAGGCTGCAGATCAAATTAAGAAGCTGTATAATCTCTTCCTGAAAATTGATGCTACTCAGGTGGAAGTGAATCCCTTTGGTGAAACTCCAGAAGGACAAGGTAAAAAAAAAATAGAAAAAGAGAGAGAAAACAAATGAATATATTATAATTATTTATGCATACCATAAATTAAATTACACAAAAGACCATAGCAGCAACTTTGCATTAATTTCTTTAAGTAATTTAATTTCTGCCAGTTTCAAATGTTCCCATGATGCAGTTGAACATTTCAGCACTTGGTTTTGTTTGCAGCCAGATGCCAAGCCTTGCAAGAAAGTTATTTTGTGTTTTACTTAGAAATGTCCATCTACCTCCCTGTCCCTTCTGTGTGTGCACACACGCGGGCGCACACACATAGGCACACATGCACACACCCATTACTGCTACTGTTAAGGTAAAGATTTGAGTGGGGAAGGGAGCCACTGCACTTGGTATGTTGAATGCACTTGCTTTTGTGATCTGGAACTTTCGGAAGCAGTTTAGTTTGCTTATATCTATGTGTAATTTCACCTCACGTCTCATACTGGTTTTATACTATCTTGGTGAAACACGTAGTCCCCCTCACAGTCAAACTGTTTCACCTTCTTCATCAGCAGCTTCTGCTCCAAGTAAAGAAGAGGTGACATTTTTGTGGAGAAAGTTTCTACTATCCATCAGGTACTTGTAGAGTATAAGTAACTGTTTTGTATTTCAGCAGCTATCACTATTATGTTTTGTCTTGCATACAGCAGTTATTCAATAAGTTCTTACTAATTTGGTAACAAAAACATATGAATGTGGTGGAGGTGGGGAGGACATAGGATGTTTCTCCTACAGTGTCTTGTATGTTGTCTAGCATATTGTGGGCAGTCAGTACACAAGGGTTTCCCAGTGAATTGGTAAATGGCATTAATTATTATATGCTAAAACACCAAGTTGCAAACCGAGGTGGGTGGTATAGTGTTTACGCCTTAGCATATTGCTAAGATTATTTAGTCAGACTCAGAAAAGCTAAAGTATCATGTCTTTGGAACCCAGAGAGGTCTGGATACACATTCTGGATCTGCTATGTTCTAGCTACAGATTTGGGCAAGTTACTTGATCCTCCTCCCCAACTGTAGTCATGTGGTAAAAACGATACTACCTATCTCACAGAGTGATTGTGAAAATAAGGTGAGCTGGTACATGTATAAACATGCAGTGACAGACTCAAAATAGGACAGTCTCTCATATTCATAAAAACACAATTCCTCTTCTCATACCAGAAAAGGTACAGTAATCAGACAATCCATGAGTTCATGTTTAGGAAGTAATAATATATTTCATGGTTGACACAGATAACCACCAAAGAAAAATATGTGCTAGATATTTATAAGCAAACTAACTTTATTCATAAATATATTTTTAGAAATATGGCTGTAAATGTGATTGAATGTAAAAAAAAAGTCTAGATAACTAAATATATAAATAAAAATTCTACTCTAAAAAATACGGCTGTAAATCATCAGTATTTCAGGAAAAGAGGGTAGGAAGAGCAAGAAACTGTATTATATGCTCATATGCCTATAATTAACTTTTATATACATTCTTTTTTGCTCTTTAACTCAACCAAGCAAAGTTAGAAGTTGTTATTTCCATTTATAAAGGATAAAAACATTAGCATGTCTCCCTGTGGACAACTACTTACAGGAGCTGGGATTCAGTCCCACATCTCTCTGAGTCCAATGCGTATGTTGATTTTGATATGCAGACTGACTTAGCACACCATTCCTCCTTTTCTACTTTTTTTTTCCATTTAAACTATTTAATATGCTTTAATCAGAGTGACCTAGAAGTAGTCTTCAGTTTAGGAATAACAGAATTCATGCATGATGCATTCAGTGGCTGATAATGAAATTAATAATTGAAAAAGGAAGTTCAGTATAAAAGTTCTTAAAGATCGTATTGCTCTTGAAGCTAGTATTTAAAAACAGCCTAGTTATTTTGTGTAAAAAAAAAAGAAAAATTGGGGGTCCGACAGGTGGCGTAGTGGTTAAGGGTGCTGGACTCTGACATGGGTAACCACAGTTGACTCTCACATGAGTAGATGTGGTTCAAATCCCAGACCTGGCAGCTTCTTTTCTCACTTTCCCTCTTTCTCTCTCTCCCTCACTCTATCCCTCTCTGGTCAAATATATATTTTAATATATATACATACATACATATATACAGTCAAATAAAGTAATTCTTTTTCAAAAAAATTCATAATTCAGCTATGGAATGGCCTAAAAATCAGGCTATAATATTATTTTTATGCAACCCTTTGGGAAGTACTCAGTCACAAGGTGGGGTCTGGCAGTAGGGAACAGGGTTATAGGAACTTTTTTGTAGAAAGAATTTACAAAACTGCATAGAGTCTGAAGTTTGCTTTTTCCTCCCACCCCCACCCCACCTCAGGTTTTTGCCATAGTGCATATGCACTTGTGGGAGAGAGACAGAGAAAGAGAGAGAGAGTAAGGAATCCTGCCTGTTCCTCCCCAAGGGATGATAGCCATGTTGTAATTCCTTCTCTTGCATTCTCCTCTCAGGACTTTTGGGTACACACACCTGGAATGATTTTCAAGCCACAGGCTCTGGGACTCAAACCACAATCATCCAGTGTGGGAGTCCAGTGCCTCTAACACCATACCACATGCTGGTCTCCTAAAATTTCCTTTTTAACTTTTAAGAGAAAGGAAAATTCTTGAGTGTTTTTGGAAGGAATCATCATGAAACACATTCTGTATATAAAGTTCATTAAAACATGTTTTAAGAGCAAAATTATCTTTAGCTATTAATTTGTTCATTGTACCATAAAAATTTAGCCATTGAATTATAATCACAGTTAAATTAGTGTGTTGGTTTATAGCTTTAATGAGCAGAAGTCAAATTAAACCCAATTAGGAAATGGTGATTAATGACCAAATGTACAAATTGATCTTCATCATTGTCAGAATCCCCTAAAGCTGTTCTTTATTTAGAAATGGTAAAAATAGTCATTTATATCTTAGCAATATTGATAATATTTATAATCTGAATACTTAAATCATTTCCATTTAGATCAGTAATAACAGAACATCTCACATTAAAACTTTTCTACTGAAACTTTGATCTAACAATTACTCTTTTTTTAAAAAAAAAAAAATAAGATTTTTTGCTATAGGGCATGTGCACTCACTGGAGAGACAGAGATAGAAACCAAAAGTGAGAAATCAACCCTCATGGGGAATGGCCACACTGCAATCTCTTCTCTTCCATTCTCTCAGGATCTTAGGCACACACACATACATGCCTGGCTTGAGTTAAGCTGCTGGGTCCAGGACTTGAAGCATGGTTGATTATGTGGGAGCCCAATGATATAACCATTATGCCCTCTGCTGGTCCCTAATAATTATTCTTTTAATTAAATAGTTAATTTTTAAGAGAGGTCTTTTTTTTTTTTTTTTTTTTTTTTGTTGTTGTTGTTGTTGTTGTTTTTGTATAGGGCACATTTGCTCACTGTAGAGACAGAAAGAAAGTAAGAAATCATCCCCCAGGGGATGCTGTGCTACAATCCCTTCTCTTCCATTCTCCTCTTGGAATTTTGGACGTGTGCACACACACACGCACCTGGTGTGAGCTTCAAGCTTTTGGGTCCAGGACTCGAACTATAGTCAGCTACGTGGGAGTCCAGCACCTTAACCACTAAACCTCCTGTTAGTCCCCATTATTCTTTTAATTCAGAAGTTTAAGGTGCTAAGCATCACACCAAGCATTTTTACTTTAAATCTAGTCATTGCGTTGACTCTTTGCAGGGGAATTTTCTTGTTTTTCATGATCAATGAGGAACTTTTAAACTTTTTTTTAATCTGAATTATCTGTTATATATTCGTATAGCCAGTGATGCATGGTTGAATGAAAAGTAATGACTTCTATTTCTGCAAAGTCACCTGTGGAATTTTTGCTTTTTTTTTTCTTTCCAATTTCTTTCTCTCATCAGAGTGAGAAACAGACATAGAAAGGCAAGCACCCTCAACAGTGTCTCATGCCATGATCCCATCAGAAACCCTCCCATGAGCCAGGATCATAGGCCCAAGTGCCTGGCATGTACATACAGGTTGACCAAGAAAGTGAACCCGTGGTCTTCCATATGGATCCAGCATTCACTGTAGTACTGACCTGACCCTCTTTTGGGGAATTTTTGATGTAGAGAAAGAACTGTAGTTTAAGAAGTATTTTTTTTTCCAATATGATTAGTAATCTGATTCAAAGACTATAATTTGACACTACCAACTATAGTGTGACTCTTTGCTAGGATTATAATAAATAGTTGTTAGTTGCTAGTGACAGAAGTCTATTGGCCCCTGGGTGAGGAGACTTATTACAGGAAAGTCTACAGTATAGACTGGCTTATGTCCAGAAAAGAATCAGGGATTCTGTGGTCTTCCAGCCCTGTATATCTTTAAATTGGTTTCTTCCTCAGCCAATCTTTCTGTGGCTGACAGCAAAGATGGTTCACAGTGCTCCTCATTCTTCCTCAGCAACCTAAGAAATTCTATCAAATGATGGTGATTAGCCTTACTTGAGTCACAGATCCATACCTGTGCCAGTCACTGAGCAGGAATCACATAGTGTAGGAGAGAGGCAGTTTCCTACTGGAAAAAGACTGAGCGAAAACATGTCTTGGGGCCAGATAGTTGTGTAGCAGTAACAAAAGTAGACACAAATGGTAGGGTCCCAGGTTTGAATCTGGAGTCCTCCCTGTGTGTGCTGCGCACATGTATGCCCTGACTCAGGCTGACTGAGGCTGGGGTAAATTGCACTGTGAGAACCCTATTTAGGATGCCTGTCTTTCTCTCTCTTTCTCTCCTTCTTCTGTCTGTCTCTTATGGAAAAAATGAAAAAAAAAATTAAATATATTGTTTTCTATGAGAATGACCAAATCTTTACTGAACCAAAAGGAAACTGTTACTTGAATACTCAGAGAAATTTATTGCTTCTCCAACTGCATGCCAAATTAATTCATTAAACTTGTGGCTGAATAAGAAGCATTATTTATTTATGTATTTGCCTACCTATCACTG